GAGACCGTCGACCCGTGAAACAAGACGTAATAATAAAGTCTCGAGCCCCCCCCCTCCCATGAAAACGCGTGGAGAGACTAGTGACCTTTAACTTTAACCGGAGAAAGTGACCGCCAGAACGAGATCGTGCAACCGTACCTGGGCCAGACAGCAGAGGAAATGTGCCACGAGATGATGGTATTTTTAAATCGTGTCCTTGCCTCGGACCGTCGATCGATTTTTCGTCGAGGTATCGGTAAAAACGCGATAAATCGCCTACAGTTTCCGTAAATAAACCTGTTCCTCCATTATGGGATATACTTATTGGGTTAATATAAAAATCCGTCTGTCGACTAACCGGCTATTTCTACTAGACTTACTGATAACTAGCCGTTTTCCGCGGCTAAAATCACGTTAGCTTCCAAACTTATTTTCGTATCTTTTTTAGGTTTTTTATAGCAAAACTTTGACCCCCTATATGTATATATATATATATATATATATATATATATATAGTATATAATAAAGAGGTGGTCTTAGAATATACACGATAATAGCGTAATAGGAAGTGAACGTTCGTAATTAATAAGACCGACGAAGGAACAGATTTCCAAGTAGAAATGGCAAGTAGTGGTCAGACTGGACTTCCTCGGTCACGAAACTACGTTTCTCTTTATTTTTAAACGCAGAAATAACCTCCGATCGCGGTGGATACCAACGTAGGAACGTGTGTTTCGAGGCACGCTCCGTGGCACCGTCATAATCAGAAAAATTGATGGCGATTCCAGGAAACGTAGCCGTAAAAGTGGACCAACGCGATTATCTAACGGGGTCTCTCGTTAGATGATCGTCGAGGATTCCTCGACTATCCCGGCCACGCCGTTACAGCCGGCGTATTTCCATAAAAATCCAATTTACGGGCGCGTGGAACGCCGACGGGGAAAGATTCGGAATAGAACGAAGGCACAGACGACGTGTCCCCGGGTCCGTCGAAGGAACTTCGAAAAAATTCGAAAGTAGTTCAACGAGCCTGGGTGCGTTAGGCGCCATGTGTCATTCGACCTCGTTCGCCCGCCCCGAGAGTAATTCATCGCGGCGCAGAGGGAGTTGAAATTGAAGTCAAGAGAACGCATTTCGCGACTCGTGAACACAAGGGCGTCTAGTTGGCAGAAACTGCGTGTGTTGGGGCACCGTTATGAAAAATATAATAATTTATTTCCATAGGAATGAAACCTATTGTTGAAGAGGTCCGCTACAACTCTTATGTCAAGATCATTTTTGTTGAATTTTTGCATTATCTGTTTACAGTCATGACTGAATGGAGGTATAGTTTAAAAAAGAAATGAAAAATACATTCGGTCCGTATTAGCCCAAGAAACTAAATCCCAGCTTCTCGGTCTACTAACCGCTAGCGTGATTCTCCGATACCTTTCTAATTCCTTCGCGAAGAAACCATCGTTCTGTTCCCATCTCCGAAGAAATATAACAGAATAAGGTGGTACGTGACATCGTCTCGACGATGATTCTTGCCCCTCGATCGGTGAATCGAGGGAATCTGAATCGGAACACGACCGATGTTTAATTACGGAATTAAACCGCAGCTGCCGTTGTTCTCGGAAATCCCTCGAGCGACACACTCGTCGTCTGTGCGTTGGATTTTCGCGCGGAACGGAGCGTACTCGAGCGATAAACTTACGCAGCCGATTTTTTTTTTTTTTTTTTTATTTCGAAAAGCCATTAAAGGTCTCGTGCCGCCACTGGAGATATATTTTTCGCGTTTTAATTTCACTGTTGGCCCCTGGCACCACCGACGTTCTTTCCGTTCCAGTCGTCGACAGTGTTCGCCATCGCGGCTCTCTCGGAGAGCGTGAATATTCATTCCGACGATGTCGAGCGAGACCGTTTCCCGGTGAATTCACCGCGTAACCAGCCGGAGATCGTCTCTAATAAACCTGGGGTCAGGATTTCGCGTATCCCTGAACACGTCGTCCCAACGATTATTACGTTACTTCTAAAGAGGCGACGATCGTAATTCGATCTGACGTCGTGTCGCTCTTGAAACTCGTTTTCCTCCCGTTGCTGATACTCGACGTTTACCAGGCTGCTATCGGCGGCGCCTCATTTGCATTCGAGCGGGTCGAACCGCATCGAAAAACAGTTATCCAGAAAACGTTAATATCCAAGATGGGGAGAGGGGAAAAGACGTAAAGCCAAGCGTTAGAACCAAGTGTACACGACGATCGTTCGTGCCCGTTCGGTTGGGACACGAGCCACGATTCTAACGGAATAGAAGCTGAACCCGTGGTTTGTCGATGCAACGCACGGAGCCACGGTTAGCTTAGAACTCGATACCCATTCGCAAGAAACTTACACTCTTCAGTTATGTACGCCGGCGTGTACGATACAATATGGCCGATCGCGGACAGAATGCAACGATTTGCACACACCTCGAAGATTGAAACTGTATCTTCTGGTGCATCGGTCTCTCGCGAAGGTGTACAGGGTGAAACGAAAAAGGGGTTCGTAACTTCTACGGTAGATAGTACTTGTCAGATAAGGAAAAGAAGTCCTAGTAAGCTTGGAGCAATAAATTAATATCTTCAAAGTTACAAGCAATTGCTTGTTCAGGTACTATAGAAACAAGGGATTATTATTTCTTCTTTTCCTGGTTAGAGAAAGTTTCCTACAATTCCTATTAGTTTTTCTTACAATTCCCATACTAAATCTATAATAATAATACGTCGCTGGTACCCAAGGAGTGAATAATTAATAAGATCCAAGACGATCGACTAAACTCGTTTCGACTTCCACGCGACAAAATATTGGAATTTCTCAGAGGACCCTTTTCGTCGAAAAAGATAACCTTTTTGGGCACCAGAGAGAACCAGCAACGTCGAGAGTCGACCTTGCACTGGCCTCGGCCGATCTTGTACGAAAGAGGAAAGGAGAGGAGAAGCCCCATCCCCCTCCATACTCTTCCACGAGAGATCTTACGGTCCTCGAGAATCCTGTTACACCGGTATTTCCTTGCTGCACCGGGATAATCTCTATAAGACGTTCTTTGTCGATGTCGTCTCTTTGTCGAAGACTAGCTTTCCAATTACGCGCAGCAAAACGCTTGAAAATAAAAAAAATAAAAACAGATGCCTGCCCAGCATAATTGCCGTCGAACGGTCGTGACTCTAATCGATCGGGTCGCGACGAAAACCTCTGTGACGACTTCTCCGAGGCAGAATTTCTTCTCTGCGATTATTCCAGAAGAACTGATCGCGAGGTGGTCGCAAAAGTCTTTTCTTTTCGATCAGGGCGGTATCGAAAAATTCTACGATCGAACGTATCGTTTTTCGTCACGACCGCAAATTACTACACACCGAGACGCCAACCCTTTTTTCTTCCATTTCTCGGTCTCGGCCGATACGTCTTCGAGAGGCGTTCGATCGAATTGCTACGAAACGCGACACCGGGGGGACCACTTTCTAGCATCTCGACGACGACGCCTCGTCTCGGGTTGCCTACGGGACTCTGAGGTTAGGGTTGAGCAAACCTCCACGGTGAAAACTGGTACCTCGCGGGGGCCCGTGGCCTATCGCATTCTCCTCGCGTTTCGTCTGCTGAACAGTACGAACGGGTTGCCGGTTTGGTAAGAAGGCTGACGTTGTTCCAGAAAGTGGTCGATATCGATATCGACTTCGTATTCCCATCATAACACTGGAAACACGATCCGTTTCTTTCTCTTCGAGATTATTTTGTTAAACACGTTCTTGGTATAGGTTACAGAAGTAGTTCTATACAGTGTATCATCGATGAGTGTATGAAGACTCCTCAGCATTGAATGTTCAGACGTCATTCCCACCACTGGGCGCTTAATTGGTTCCATAGGTGATCCCCCAGTGGTGGGGATAACGTCTGAACGCCTGAAATGCCGAGGAGTCTTCGAGCATTCACCGATGATTTACTGTACTACCCTTGATCTGGGTGTTCGAAGTTGCAGGTGACTTAAATCGTGTCGCAATCTTCATAAAACCGTGAAAAGAATTCAGCATTTCGCAAGGGGACAGAGAGATCAGCAAGTAGAAACTGATGAAACCATAAAACGCGCTGGTATCAAAGTGTATCCTTATGGGTAAAAACTTGAATACAAAAGGTAAATATAGTTTCATATTCTACGACCGTATGGAACAATCACCCTCTATAAAAAAGATAGAAGAAGATTTACTGTAGAGCGTTTATATCCTGCAAGAAATTGATTTTGATCGTAATTTATTGGAAAAATGTCTATTAGTTTTTCAATGGACCGTGGATCGAACCTGTACGAGACACTGGGTAGATTTTGTGACATTCCTTCACGACCGTGAGGTTTGAACCTCATATGGTATTCTACGACACGCTTTTCTAGATATACCCGCGACGCATAAGAGGTCTCGGTTCCTTCGCGCCTTTCTCTTTCTCTGCCAGTTTGATCCACCTCCACATGTTTTTTTCTCGGCCGCGACCAACTGATTCTACTGGTAGCCGAAACTAGTCTAACGTCCAGGCTCGACAATGATAGATTTTAGACTTTTTTATAGACCACCGACGTGGCTCGTCAAACCAGGACACGTTTATCCAATAACTCATTCTTACCGATCCCTACTCTTTACGCAGGTTGAACACCTTTTTAGTCACCTGGACAACAAACCCAGATCAACAACATTGTTTCGCGATAAAAGAATTCACAAATATTACGAAAAAGATACAGTTAAATCATTGGAAAAAACTTTGTTCACTACTCTTACTTTGATTGCCCGGAAAAAATTCTGAAAGATGGGCATGAAACTCACGCGCAAGACCAGAATAGCCCGTTAAGAGAACAAAGAGTGTACAGTTTCGGGCTAGTTGCGATCGAGTCGTCCAGAAATCGTTTGTGTTAATTTCCCTACATATTAAAGCCTGAAATCTCCAAGCAAAGACATCAGACGCGGATAAAATTCAAAGGACAGATCGCGAGAGGGGTTGGTAGTTGTCACGGGGGCCAAACTCACCGAGGGGGTGGTGCTCCTGTGCGTTCCCGGCCTGGAATGCGGAAGGGACGTGCATTTAGGGTTGGCAGGCCCATTGCCGGAGGGAGGCGGTGGTCTTTGGCTCTCCCTTCTGGAGGGTGGCGGCGGCGGTGGCGGATGCGACAGAGGCCTGGCCGTGTTCCGGGGATGATGCTGCTGCTGCGCCCCTTGGAATTGGCCCCAGGCCTGGCGTGGCACGTAGCCGACGTAACCGCCGGAAACGAATTGCGCGGAGCCGTTTAGGTGCGGCGGTGCCATTACCGCCGTCTGCTGCGGTTGACCGCCGTTTCGCATTTTTTTTTTCTTTTCCCTTTTTTTTTCTTCCACCGCGTTATTTCTCGCGGCGTGCTTCCGCGCGCAAATCGACGAACTCACTAGGTCAACTGTCCACTGCGGCTGTTCTGGGTGGCTTGCTGCACCTCCTTGCTTCCCTTGCCGCGCATTTGGAGCTGATTTCCGTCGACTTGGTCCCGTCACGTCTCTAAACGTAGTTCTCACATTTTTTTATCTTGCCACGGTCTGACTATGCATAGCGTCCTCCGTCCAGTTCTGTGGTCCAGGTTCGATTTTTTTAAAAATAGGTATAATAGACCAAGTTGTGAAAATGGTCCAAAAATTTAGGTATAAAATTTAGGACTTCTATTCTATCCTGTGTATTCAAAGTACAGTGGGGTATGCTACAGAACGAACTAATTGGTTCTAAAACATCGTTCGTTGTAGCATTTCCATTGTAATAATGAAAACGGTTAGCTGTAGCATACACCACTGTAAAATTGAAATCGAACGAATCGAACGTTGCACCCGCAGACACGAGACGGCGATAATGCCACAGACCGCAATGGATCAATCGTTGGTTGTCTCGGTGCTTCCGTGGGGGATGTGTGTGCAATCCCAGAGAACGAACCGAACCTCCACGCATTTATTCGACGCAGCTCGATGAAGTGATCAACATTATCGTTCGACGGTAATAAAATTCGCCTCGAGTATCCAGCCTGACGGTGAACGGAAGATTAACGAGCGCGTGGGTGTCTCACCGTCACGCCGGGGGAATTCGCGGAAGCTGTCACGTGATTTCCATCGAATCGAACGTGGATTTTCGCGGTAGTTCGCCAGCTCGAGAGCCCTAGAATCTGCTGTTATTTTGGTGTGTGTGTATCGTGCGTTGAATTTCGATGCGAGAACGTGCGGTCTCCCTCGATCAATCTCATTCTCGGCTGACCCGGATTATCATCGATACCGGGGTTCGCCTATTTTTACTCGTCACATCGTTGTACTTTTTTCGCATTTTTCACGTCGCGATTAATCCACGAAGCCTCTCCCGCAACATGAAAAATGAATTTCTTTACGGAGAGACTCGTACACGTCCTTCCGGAATTAATATTTCGAGGTTTCGATTAAATCTGTTTGAGACAAACTGTCTACAAAGGTCAAATTTTCTGAATAATTCGACAGTTTCTTGGGCTAGGTTTTTAATCACTGTGACTTTGAATCTTTCTTTGAAACCGGAAGGTCTTTCCGAGTGATCCAGAAGACTGGTCTCACTTTTCGAATTACAAAGAGACGGAAAATTGAGGCTATCCCACTCGGAAAACCGCCCCTTCTTACCGCATTTTCGTCGAATCTTTTCTGGTTCCCGCCTTTTTTTTTCTCCCTGAAAACCGTCGCCCTTTTGCTCCCGGTTCCGGACACCGTGAAACTGCCGGACTATTCGTGGAACCTTTGTCCCCGTTTCCTACCGTAAGTAACCGAGGCGGGAAGTTCGGACAAAAGAAAAGAGGGACTGAGATTTATGCGCAGCTCAAAGGGAAGCTGCTTCGAACGTGCGAAAACTTCGTCTTCTGTTGGCAACGGTCTTAAATGTTTAAAAGTCATCCTAGTATCCATCTATAAATCGAGACGTTCGATCGTAAAACTCTTAAATGTTACGACTGGATGTTACATAAAATATTACATTCGTCGACCAGAGAATCGCTACGAGAATCGATTTCGAACCACCAATAGAGAAACTCGATTACCTTCGTAATCGTAATTTCAGATCGAATATGTTCCATGAAACGGTCCTTGGTAATTTTAGTCGGTCGACCGAAGCGGAGAGCGGGCGTAAAACTGGCCGATGTTTAATTAAAACGGTGCAAGTTCAGTGCCAAACACCGGTACAGCCGACCGAATAAAAATAGGAACACCGACGGAGATAATAATCTCGGTCAGCCGAGGGCAAGATTCGATGCAGGCGCGATCGGATTGGATTTCTGTTTGCACTGGCACGTGAACGGAATATCGATCGTGGAACAGACGGTAACGTGGCCAGAGAACGAAGAAAGAGAGATAGAGAGAGTCGACTAAAAGCACGGAAGCACATCTTTCATCGAACGGGTCAAGGATCGGTATTCCCGATCTGCTACGAATCATATCGAGGAAGTCACGAATCTCTATCGAATCTCTGGTCCTCTCGTTTCCACGACGAGAGACGATTTAAATTCATTGGGCAAAGAGGTCTCGCGTCTTGATGAATATTCAGTGTAATGAGTCGACGGTGTTCTCGATCTATCAACGTCATCCGTTGCCGATCTGCTTCGTAGATTATCCGAGTAATGGAGTCCCAGCAGCTGGTAAGTAAAAATACGTCCGTGATCGTCAAGATTGTTCGTTGAAAATTGGCCAAGAAGAATGAAAGAAAAAAAAATATATCGTCGACGTATTGTTGCTTGTTAGAAAATTTTTGTACGACACGAGAGGATCGACGGTGGCGGAGAAGGATCGTTCGGATCGTTGGGTGCATCGATCGAGACAGGAGAATAGACGCGTCACGTCGGCCGTGATCACGCAACCGATCGGACACGCTCGAATAATTTTCAGGGTGGCAGCTTCCGGTGGAAGCGTGCGTAGAAGATCGAGTTCGCTGCACTATATCGACGACTCGGCCACGGCTCTAAATCACCGAGCCGAACGGCGATTAACTCGGCTCCAGGAGATAATCCCTGTTCGAGGAGAAAAGAAGCCGGTCGCGGTCATTGCGTTTTTTTTTCCTTCTTTTTAGTCTCACAATCGCTAGGACGCTTGGGCCATTCGTTACACGCTTTTCTTTTTCTAACCAAGGTTCACGTTTTTTTTTTTTTTTTTTTTTTTTTTGTGAGCGCACGATTAATCGTTACGAAACGATTCCTGCGGTTTTCTTGTCCCTTTTTCTGTTAAGAAATTAATTGCAAGACTTTCTACGCGATTTCGATATAACCCTGCAGGCACTGGGCAAGCAGCCGGCTCCGACAACTCTTGATCATTTCGCGCTCCGGGGGAATTATATAAACTGTGATCGAAATATTCGAAATTTCCGTGTTATTTTTTCCGGTATAAAGGACTGTGACTATCCTCGAAAGCAAACTTTTAGAAGAAAGTTTGATCGTTTAAGGAACAAACTGGGCGAAACAGTCTCGCCGAGGGCGCGAAACCGATAAATTGAAAGTTTAAACGAATATAAACCAGTTTCTCGTCCGTGGCATGGGATCGTCTAACTAAGGGAACCGACTTTGAACTTCTCGTTAAACTACCCCCCCTTCGGACTCGGGGGGCTTGTCGTCTCTGTTCGACGTGGATCCCGAGGGTCTAATTACTTTCGCATTGTTCCGCCGAGCTTCGAAGTCTGGGGACACGCCTCCGGAAGAACTCTCGATTTCAGTCATCGCGTCGTCTCGAAATTCGGTTTTCCGCGTGAATAGTGAAAACGTGGGATCGCGGCGGCAGCCGAGAAACACAAAGGATGCGGGCGGGAGTTATCGCGTGGCTTGTTTCGGATTAATCATCCGGCGGGGTCGGAGAGGTGGTCGTTCTGAGGCAGCGTTCTCCAATCGGAAGAACGTTCGAGTGTTCCGGAAAGGTTTGTTTGACGAGAAAATCTGGTTGTTTGGCGAGAAGATCTGTTTGTTTGACGAGAATAAGGTGTTGCGTGGAGACTAGTCACGATTCTTTTAAAATGCGCGTGCCGGTAGCACGCAGCACGTTCCTGGGTCGATCCGTTACCTCGGAATAATTGGGCCTCCGACGACGGTAGCTGCCACACGTGGCCGATGCACACGCGCGCTTTCCTGGGTCGCCTTGGTATTCGTTTGGCGACCCGTTAATTGTTAATCGTGACGCGTAGGCGGATACGAAAGCGGCTGGCTTTATTAGGATATACAACGTGCCGTGGGATCGGCCGCGGGGACTCTGTACTCGCTGGCTTTTTACGGAGCGGGCTTCAAGAACGGAGAAGGGATCCTTCGTGGTTGGCTTCGTAGAAAAGGAGAAATGCTATGATATCTATACTAGGTCCGCCAGGTAAATTTTTGTTTTTGCGAGAAAATTTAACTATGACATTTCTATTCAGGTTGCGACAATGATTCTTATAAAAGTCACATCTCGGGAGGGACAAGAGTCGTTGAGACGGCCATTGCTACTGCCCACGTAGCACAAAGGCACCAAAAAAATGGACTGAGTCACCTGGTCGAGAGCGTGTTTCGCGGTTAAGGGGATTTACACATTCAGAATCAGACACGCCTCTCACTGTATCTCGACGTGCCGGTACATCTCCCTTCGAAGAGCTGGGATCAGAGTTGGACATAATTTTATTCGAATAAAATATAATAAAAAGCAGGAATATCTGAGGGCGTCACCCTAAGCTTTAATCAGTTAATGAGATGGAATAACTGTTTGCCAAATGTAGACTTACAGGAGAAGTATTACTTCGTTAATAAAAATTAGAATTTCCACGTTCAAACGATTAAAAATAACGAAGTACGTTTGCATGTTTTATTCGATACTCGAAATTCTTTATCTGTATAATGAATTTGCTCATCTCTCGTCGGGATACCCTGAGTTGTCAAATATTCTGGCAATAACTGACAAGGAAAAATAGGCGACCATCCGCTATACCTGCAAAGAAATATTCCCTCAGCAACCAAGCGAAACGTGAGAGTCCCGTAGAAGAATTCCGGGGCTTTCGTTGAAAATCGCTGCATTTCCTAAGCGACCCGGATGGAGACGTTAAACGACACATTTCGCGGTACAATGGAAAATCGCTCGAGTTAGGTGGCCCGCTTCTCTTCGTCGAGAAGAAAGAAGTGCTCTCGCGATTGGACAGGCCCCGGAGAGAGAGAGAGAGAAAAAACGGAGAAAATGCGAGAAAACAACAGAGATATTCCAGCGTCTTTTTTTTTGTCCGTAAAAACGTGGCCAACTGCGTAATCCTTTTAATAGTTCTTCCACATGCGACCGAGAACAGGTGAGTCGATGCACACAGGAGGCTCGTGCACGATCCTAGACAAAGAGGCCGGGGCCTTTCTAGCAGAGCAAGAGACGAAATCAAGCGGCGAAACTCGGGCATTCTTTCGAACGTGGATCGTGCTCGTATTGTATATACGTGAGTCGGTTGAAGCGGAGGGAGGGGAAAATCTAGCGGAAAAATTAGCGACTTTCATTACGGGACAGCAGTAACCCTTTCATTCCCAAATTATTTAGAAATTACCAAAGAAATATTTTCTTGTACATTAGAATGACATACGAATGATTCACAAGAACATTTTAACATTCTGAAAAGGTCTGAACGGATTTGAAAACTTTTTAATTTTTATCACAGTTGTACATAATAATTCTCGTTATAATGTTATTATTCATAAACCCTCTTGGTGTATTTCCACGAAATTGCAGTTTTCTTTGTGTCTGTTGTATTTGTAACAAGACTGAATAGTTGAATTCCATCAAGGACAAAGGACCAATAATGTCTCATTTTACCGATTTCAAGCTTTCAAATTGCACATTCAAATTTGTGCTATACAATCTATACAAGATTAGAAGTAACTATTATATAGTCACAGATATGAAAAAATGCATGATACTAATATTTTATTTCGCAATTTAGAATACGTAGTCATATGGCAACAGTAGGAACGAAACGGGTTAACGACTCGCGACGAGCACGATGGGAATCGCGAGAGGGGTCGTTTTCTGGGCCACGAGTACCGGAAAAATTTTTCGTTTCGACGAAATAGGGAATGCACCTGGCGAGCACGCGGCCAAACTCACCGTATTACCGGTGCGCGATAACTTCTTGTGTAACTTTTCAACGGTGTACCTGGCATAACGGTATATCGGCGATCGCGTATATACGCCTCCGGACGAACGTTCGCCAGCGATTAGAATTGAACGTTTTCCTGACAGGTAGCCACCTGCTGCACACCTCGGGAACGATCGGTCGAATGGACAGGCGTAACCGGAGGAAATTAAACGAGGAAAGCGCCGCTTTCTCTGTTCGTTCCGCGAAATAACGGCGTGCATTCTTCGTTATTGTCGATTAACTACTATAGGAATCACTGGATCGATCTGACCTCGGATTAATAGTAGTATAGAAATTTTAGTGTTCTGAAAATTTTTATGTTTTTTTAAAACTTCACGGGTCTGTATGGGGCCTCAATAGAAACGTCGGGCAATTTTTCGTTTGTGCTGATAAGAATATAATAAATTTTTCTTGTAAATCTTCGATGAGTGTTCGAAGGCTCCTTTATTTAGAAGTATTATACTATAAAAATATTGGAAATATTATTGTGAGTTCTAAGAAGGTTAAAGGTTAATCTGTATTTTCCTATTTCCCTGAACAGTTTGAAAAAAATCGTTATTTTTGTGGTACCAAAGTTCCCTTGTAAGTAGTGAGCATTGAATATTGAGATGAATTAGATACACGCGTTTCTGAACTGTTCTAATTTCGTGAAACTACCCCACTGAGATTTGAGAATTCGCATTTTTTTTTTGGTTCTGTATTACATCGCCAAGGAACATCGATGGAAAGCACATAACGAAACAGGATTATTGTTCCACTAGTCCGAGAAATTCCAACGCGAAAGAATGTTTGCTCGATTATCGACGCGCGACAATCGCTACCATAATCGCGTATCGTTGAGTTCCCGGAACAGGGCGAACGCTAACAACGGTGTTTCATCGATTTTAATCGGGCCTGCGTAATCGTTATCGTTCGCGAAACGAACGCCTCGACCGAGTCCTCCTCCGCCGAGCTACATTTCGTGCGCCGTGGAACGTTTTAATGGCGCGGACGGGGAGAGAAGAAAAAAAAAGGGAATGGAAACGCGGTAGCGCACACGGAACGTGCGTCAGGCGATAAAAAGAATATCGGTCAGTGACTTTCGCTCGGGCACTTAGCTAGACGGCTTGGCTCACGAATGGCATCGTTTCCTGTTCTATCCGTGTACAGTCTGATTATTATTTGAGCTAATTGCTCGCGCCTCCACTTTTACACAACCACGAGAGAGGAATCACTTTTCGTTTGGTTGGACGAGGTATGCAAAACAGGAAGAATTACACACAGTTATTAGTGTTGAGGCTTTCAGGGGTAAGTTGGGTCCTGGTGGAATTATTTCCCCAACGTTTCGTGGGCATTGCAGCTAGGTTCATCGGGGAATCGAATGACACACTAACACTGGTGTGTGCTTTGTGGTGTTCCACTAATATACTTTATGACGAATTAACCTCTTCAGGGGATACTGGCATCCGGATATTCCGTAACAAAAAGAAGGGATAACCTGCCAATTGATTGTAATTAAAATGTATAAATATATTTTAAATAAATACAGCTGAAAACGAGTCTTTTCCCGATATTTCCTGGGAAAAGTATCCTTTACTTTTAGATGTAACTTCAGCTTCTGTAAAGACTATTTACGATAGGTCCTATCAAGGTTAAGCTCCGTAAAGGATGTCTCATCGCGGAAAAGCGGAAATCTGTGCCTGTCTCGAAGATTTCTAATAGCTGAGACTGAACGCAAGAGGATGCAGTGAGTGTTGCAGCGACGGGACTCGCGAAATGCCTAATTTATATAACAACACTCTTGGCCAGGTCGATCCCTTTTCTCCTTCCGCGGCGGCACTAGTGAAAGTGAGCAAACAGCGTCGAGCGGATAACCAGCACGCGGCGGATACGCGATAAAGCGATCGCCCCGAACGAAAACTCGTTTCTCTCCTGCCCGCCCCATGCGTCAGGGCGATTCGAGCGGAAACCCGTTCATTTTTTTTTACCTTTTCCTACGTTAGACGCAAACACGTGACGAGGGTGACATTTCCCTCCCCCGAAGAACCGCTTCCCGACGCGTGTCCACTTTCGAAACGCGAGCCACTCGACGGCAGGGAAATTTTCCAGCGATATATCACGCAACAGAGTTTCGTCGTTACGTGCTGGGTGGATAATGAAAAATTCCACTGTGGTGCACACGATTCACCGATGACTCGACACACGTGCCAAGGTTCTTCTCGAAGGTTTCATCTCGACAACCTGACGCACGACAGAAAACTAGCTGGCTAGAACGGAGTAAGAAACGTATATATCTGTCTCCCTCTTTTCCTCTACGCTGTCCCGATTGTAATTAGCCGAGGACAGACTGGCTCCTCTTACGGTTAATTGCAAAAACGCGCCCGGTAAAGGCTTCCTAAAAGAGAACGTCGTATTTCACGGGAAAGTTTTGCGTCCTCCTCGCGCACGTTTTAAAGTGTCGCCCGGTTTATCGGTTTTCCACGGCTCGCCAGTGTTTCCGGGCACATTTTTTCCTTCGATAAAAAAATGAACGCTTGAGAGGATTTGTTATTGTTAAAGTCGAATTTTAAATGACAATAATATTAAGGAAATAGCTGACACATGAAAATTAGATTTTTTTAATATCTATATGTACCATTTGGAACGTACAGATTTCAATCTACCGATTCAATGAACCAAGGACCGTGTGCGACCGTCTCCTCTGTACATCGAAACAAGGCTGTTTTTTTTTGCATTGCTAAGCCAGCCTTCGTGCCAGAGATTAAAGCACAGACAGAATCGGGATAGAAAAGGTCGACGCGATCCTTGAATATTTTTTCCGGTTAATTACCTGCGCCGAACGAGTGCTTTTCATTCGTCGACCGGACGACGAGTTAAGTAACGACCACTTTCACTTATTTCCATGAACGACCCTTCTCTCTTTCTCTCTTTCTCTTGTACCTCCCCTGTTTGTTTTTCTATGAAAATTCACAGGCGGCCACGAAACTTCACGAGCATCTTCTCACGTTTTTACGACTTTCGACTGAAACGTGCCCCGTCTCTCCTTTGATCGTCTCCTATCTCTCCCGATACGTGCGCCGCCAGTCACGACTACTTTCCACGGAAACATTTCCCCACCCCAGCAATGGTGGTGTTCGCTCTCTTTTCACCATCGACAAGAAAACTCGATCTCCTCCCCCACTCCGTTGTCTACGTAGAATAATTATTTCGAGCAGTCTCCTCTGTTTCTCTACCGTCATTCGTCTCTAGATGGATCTCGCCTAGATCGTGCCGAGCAAACCGCGCCAGGCTATTTTATGCTCTAAATAATCCCGGCCGCTATACAGAAGGAATTAACCTACCGTGCCCGAAAGCACCACTACCTTACTTATCGAGTGTATACCGTCCGTCCAGGAGATTCGTTTAATCGACTTGGCTCCCGAACCAATTACCCAGGAACTTTGTTTTCCCGGCGGGAAAGCAAGAACCAAGAAGGTCGCGGAGAAGAGCCTTTCGAAGGGGAACGGATGAACCAGAGTGTAAACGATACGACGACGGTGTTGGGTTCTGCGGGGATACAAGCTTTCATCGGTATATACCTGAATTCCAACGGTACGGAATTATCCCTGAGAAACAACAGACCTTGGAGTACGAGGGAATTCCCAACCGAAGACTAACAGCCCAGTCACCAGGATGAAAATCCTCAGTCTAGGTCGTCTAGAACGAACGACTTCGCGTATTAAAACGAAGAATCGTTATGACTCAAATATCCCAAGGATTTCCAAGGTTTTTAAAGAGCTGGGAATCCAGCTCGATGACTAATATTCAGCGAAAGTTCCCTACTCTACTGAAGGATGTAGACTCGTAAAAGAAACGGACCAGAACGCTGGTTAGCATCCCATAGATCGCGACTCGAGGGCAGCGCACGGCAAACCGTCGTGCGCCTCGCTGACATTTAAATGTCACACGTCCAGAGAGAGAGAGAGAGCGCGCGCGCAAAATTCCCTTCCAACGTTTCAGGATTGTACCTCGAACCAGGGACGAACGATCAGCAGCACCGTGTCGAAATCCATCGAGCTGATCGCAGGCTAATGCCGATAAATCGTCGCCTGGAAGCGATATCGCGGCCGCAGGATAATCGGGCGCATAGGCGATAACATATGTTCGCGCGTTTATCCTGCCAGGATGATCCTGGCGCGTTTTTCAGCGTGAAGGATCGTTCTCTCGTTTCCACAACGTCACCACCACGGATGCAGCCGTTTTATCAGAGGGAACGTCGTCGTGTACAATACCTCCGAGCTTCGGCGCATCGATCCCTTGGTCGGTGTGTGATCGATGAAGCTTTTCGTCCGTCGATTAATCTATCGCGCCTCTAATGGCAACGGCGCGCACTCACACAGAGAATATAGATTATTGAATCACCAGGGAAACCCTCACTACCGAGTACACTCTCTATCGGACACGGACAACACTCGAGTGCTTCTGTTTTCTGGATCACACGCCACACACTTGAATACCCGTCACGTTTCATCCATCTCGGCTGGGATCTCACGTTTCCACGATCAGACAATTCTTCGTCGAACACTTTCCGTGGAACATGATGGTTCTCGAGGGGACCACGGGCCCAGCTGTGCCGGAGGAAAGAAAGGGAACACGCCGAGCGCGCGGTTGTTTCGCAGCCGAGTCGGCTGGCTGACTGGCTCGCTGACCGGTTGGCCTGTCAGTTATTGTCCGCGGTCGCTTTCGAACTGACACGCGGTGCAGCCAGCGCGAAGAAAGGCGCGGGAGAGCCGAGCTCTGCGAGTGGCTTGCCGTGGGACATCAAACACCATTGGAGTAGGGGAAGTACGTATGTAGGTACTCCGGGGAACGGTCGTTGGACGATACGGAACACCCGATGGATTGTTTTCTTTTGTTTTCCCAGATATAATTTACTATTTGTTTATATGAAACATTTGGTAAATTGATTTAGCGTGGTGGAGATAATAGCATATAGGTATTTTCTCGACTGTCCATATCATGTTCGTTTTTTCGAGTTAGTAAACTGTTGGTAAGATATAGTTATTTAACCCATTTGCTTCATTTGAAAGATAGGTGTATTTGCTGGCGAAGCGTGTAACTGCGTTTTCAACGGATTCGATTCTGAGATCTTTTCTAAGTTCGTCACTCCTAATATACTATAGGGCGTTGACCACTGTTGAAGGATTATTGATTGAAGTGCCTTGATTCTTTTTATTGTGGCTGTTGTTCCCTATAATTCAAACCCATACGTCCATATTGGCTTAATAATTGTTTTGTATACAACAGAGAGACTCGTCTTTCTTCGGGTGTGACCACTGAACGGTGGAGTATCCGATCAGAACTGTCGCTTAAAGACAATTTCTGCGAAGTTTCTGCAACGAATTCGCCAATGACGTACACCAAACATTGGTGATTGCGATAAATTTAGGATTACCAGCCAGGTGGAAGGCGAAACGTCTAAACAGCTCGAAGTTCAAGGTCCAATATTCCGAGCTAAACTTAGTCCCGCCGGTTTTAGATCCACGGAAGATCGCACGTCATCGATTCGAAGTTTCAAGACTCGGTAATCAGGAAAAGATTACGATGGCCATAACATCGTAGGAGCTGCTTAATCGACGAGGAGTGGAATACAAGTTTTAACGAGTTCGTCGTGACGGAAAAAGAATGTTCGGCCATACGTTTTTTCGAATACGACCGAGTCATCGAGTGTGAATATTCATAAGCGCGTTAACCTTGATCGGGGACGATAATGGGACACGCGATACGGCAAAGAGGCTGGGGCCCCTCCTTCGAGGCCTTGAAAAGGTTGTGATCGGCGATCGGGGGACGGCTCACGGATCGCCGGCCACGACGATGACAATGATTACGAAATTATATACCGGACGACGCGTACGGAAAATACGGTTTATCGAGCGTGACCATGATCGATCGCCCATGCGTATTCGATATATCGATATAGAAATTGCTTGTTCCCCCATCGTAGTTCGGACCACTGAAACTGGAGTTTAGACCACTGGAAAGCTACTTTCTCTAATGTTGAAGATATTAATTTGTCGGAAAAGAGGAAAGAAAAGCGGAATCGAAATGAAAGGTTTACTAAGAATAGATTTCATCGAATCGCTTGGTCGATAGTGATCGTCGCGATTAAATTCCGGAAAAAGTCGACCCACATTCGATTGTGAAATCCACTGGCGACGAAGTCAGCTCGTACTGACGACGCTTAACACTTTGGTATAGGAAAACAAAGGCTGAGAACGGTTAATATAATATGTACAGTTTGACAAATAAAAGCATTAGTTTCTAAATATTTTTAGATCACCTGAAGTTGTATATTTTCGAGCACAAATACCCTTCCTCGGCAAAGTGTTAATTACGGTTTCAAAAACGAGCGATGACGAGACTGTATCGCGAAACTCTCGAGTGACGTAATTTCTCGGCGCGATGCTCCGCGGCGATTTGCTTTTTCCGCGTGCTAAATATTTTCCTCGAACCTTTGGCGACACCTTTTGTCGCCGTGTAAGGTGTTTAGCAGGCCGCGGTGTAAAAAAAAAAACGACGCGGCAAGCGAATTCCTATGCAAATCGGCCAGGAAATCGCTTACAAGTATGCAAAATCGTTGGTAATCCGCGGCTGTTAAAGTGGGTCGCGAGCTTCGCGCGCGTACAGGCCAGAATGGAAGAACCGACCGAAAAGAACGGGAATAAGATTCCGGTCGAGAAGATTTTCGCGATAGTTTTCACTATGATAGCACGCTGGCTGGATCCCTTCTCCTCGGGTTATTACTTCTGCTTAAAATGCACGAGATAGTAGCGTAATTTCACCACCTCGGCTACTTTCTTTCCGCCAATCCGAGCGCGCACGGGAGACGTAATAATTACGCGGCGATGACGCCCCGATAATGTGCCCCGTTCCGAAATCGTTGAAGTTTCTGTACCACTGGAATCATCGCGGTCTACAGTTCCAGCAAGTGTCATAAAGACGTGTTATTGTTACTGACACAGCTCATTGGACTATAATAAATTCGGGATGAAACTTTGCCCGTAACAGAGATGGGCAAATTCATTATCTGGATAAAGAGTTTCGAAAAATGAATAAAAGATAGAAAAAGGTAAGTACTTCGTTATTTAGAATCGATTAAACGTGGAAATTCCAACTTTTGAATATAAAATACTTCTTCTTGAATTAGTAGACACTTGGCAAACAATTATTTGATCTTATTTACTGGATAAAAAAATTCTGCCCAACTCTGATGTATAAGAATGTTTATTAGACGACTGCAGAAGTTTATGCAAATTTATAATTTCAGATATTAATATTTAAAAATTAAAATGGGGTAGAAATTTGAGAGATTTTATTGTATTTTCCATGTTGAAAAATGCTATGAATACACAGACGTCCAGAATCTACTTAACTTTGCTTTGAATCAGCCAGTGTAGTACCGACCAATTCCACTTCAACTTCTATACACTTCACCGTTCGCTTATATTTAATCTATATCCGTGTCTCGTGTGTTCCGTCATTAAAAATGGAGTGTGATTAGAACACACTAATAGATATCAGTAAACAGCGTACAGTTTCCGCATACGGATCAAACGGAAGCGAACATTATAACAGGAAGGCGCATCATCCGACGCGCCATTGTTCCGAGGATCACGGTTGAGCAACGTTCAGGGCCGAGCCCCCGTTGTGTTGAACACGGTTCTAGTCCCGATACTCCTCTATAATGCCCCGTTAGATAACGAAGAAATTGAAACCTGTCGATTTACTTTAGCGATTTTAACGGTCGCGACGCTCGGAAACGCGGCCGCCCAGTCTCAACCACGCGTTGTATAACAGTTCGTTGCATTTACCATATTTTGTAATATTCCTCGCTGAACGAATTAGAGAGGTATTGCGTTCAAGCCACTGGGATCGTGTATGGTTTCTGCGAGCCGCGGTTTTGCAGATCATGAAGCGGAGTTTCCACGAATCTGCACCAACTTTAAATCCGTCTCGAGCCAATCCTATAAACACCAAGGGATCTCCTACGTTTTCTTTTTGTTTTTTTTTTTAAGGGTATACAGAGAGAGATCTCCGAGGGAAGCTGTAAAAGGATGTTGCAATCGATACCTCGTAATCGAACCTATCGCAGTCAGCTATCGCGGCTTGGTGGCTCGAGTCGAGCGGCGCCGTGAAATCGATAACGTCGACGAAGAGAAAGAGGAGGGAATAACAAACAAGCTTGCCCCACCGTGAATTGGATTGTACACGTATACATATACACCGTCGACTCCTATTTTATTCGCTTGTACTCACGTGAGCCTACTCGCGGGCAGCCGCGATCTATAAAGAAATTATGATCGGAGCGAAAGAGACAGAAATCGCGCGACATTTAAGGGCACTAGGCAGTCAGATTTGGTAGAAATGTAATTCTTCTTTGTTTATTATAAAAAAAATTTTTTTACTGTTTATAGTATTAATGAACGTTACCCAAACGTATCAGTCACAATTTATATTCATTTCCGTGTAATTAATTTACAAAAAACGTTACATTTTTACCAAATATGACTGCCTGGTCCCCTTAAACCGCGACTCGTAAACGTCGTCTTAACGTCTCGACAAAGTCTCGACCGTTCAATCTCGATGAAATTGTGACATCGATGGGCGAAATCATTTTCGAATCGTATGAGAGACCGTTTCTCCCTGTATAGGGTGTGTCAGAAATATCGCCACTGACTCAACTTCGCAGGCCAGAATTGTACGTCGTACGGGGCCTAAAAAAAGGCTCGGGATAAATCTCATTTCACGTAGAAGACGATCGATCACCCTGGAGAGCCGACTGAAAGCCGAATTTACCTTCAGGCGTTGCGACGAGTCCATTAATATAACGCGTCGGACAAATAAATCCTCCAATTGTCTATAAGTGTTCACCGCCACGTCGACACGGTCTGACGAATAAATCAATCCTCGAAGCTCGATCGCGCATACTTGGCCCAGAAGAATTTATTTGGAGGAACAACGGAAAGCTGGCTGGAAGGACACAAGATCGAGCGTGCGTGGACTATTAAATTCGGAATGGTAACCTCCTCCCCCAGGTGCTTGGATGAATTTTAATAGCGGCGCGTGTGACCGTGCGCGATTTAAAAGCCGCGCGACCGTGTGTACACTACCGACCAAAAGTACAGGACCAGAGTTAATGACTGATGAAACAATAAGTTATTATTCTGTGACGATATAATAAAAGTTACGGAATCGACACATATAGAAATCATTTCTAATTAATTTTAGGACATTTCTTTTATCAAATTTTTCCAGAGTAATGTTCTCCTTTTTTTAATTATCAGACCTGGTTCCATACTTTTGCCCGATAGTGTACATTTCCGAGCTGACCGACGAATAAAATCGACCTGGTTTTACGACCGTCCCGAGCTACAACACGCGACCGTCGCGAATCCGCAAAGAAACTTTCTATCGCGGAGGTGTTCCTTCACGGTTAAACGGTTCATTAGTCGCGAAAAGTTCGCGAGCGTTAACGGCATCGCCGTAAAACAACGTGTCGGCGAACGGAACCCTGTTGTTTCGTATTTATAGATGAACGTCATCGGGGGAGATTTGCGAATTAAAACCGGATCACAAGAGGGAATTGCTTCTAAAGTCGACTCGGATTATTTCTTTCATTAAATCATCCTTTGTTTCATTAAAATTTAAACTGTCCTAGAATCAAAATTTGACAATGTATTTCGGAGATGTTTATTTTAGTGGGATTGCCCATA